TCTCTGTGCAGATATTAAAATTGATAAAATTATATTTGATTTTGTATTGAACTAAGTTATAATATAGTTATTTAGTTATATAAATTAGTGTTATAAACGTGGAAGACAAGGACCGACAATTAGACGTGAGCGAGTTAAATATATAAATACGCTGCACTTCTGCAATCTCGTAATTCAAGACATTGGTATCAGCGGTAACCAAGCCATAAGCGTAAGCGGGTAGCTCCATAAATATGAATCGTACTCCGGTGAGCACCAAAAACCACTATGGATCAGATTCTAATGTCTTCGTTAATAAAGAGTCTGAAGAAAAAAGCAATAATTTAATCAATCGGCTAAAGAGACGTAGAGATGATGAGGATATTATGGACGAATTTAAAAAATTCAAAGATGAGATAAGGACAATGCTTATAGAATGGAAATCGGATAACGACTATAAACTATCAAAATTGCAGACTGATATAACGGATGTAAAAAACACGTTAACCGATGTCCAAAAAACCAACTTTGAAATAGAGAAATCCTTAGAATTCCTATCTACTCAATATGACGATATGAACCTTAAAATACTTAACTTAGAAGAAAGTAATAATGAACACCAACAACAGATTAAAGACTTACAAAACAAAATTGAAGAGTTCCAAAGGCTGTCCTGTGTAAGTACGTTAGAAATAAGGAACGTTCCTGTATGTGTCACTGAAAATCAATCTGACCTATTTAAAATTGTTGAAAATGTCACCAAAGCAGTGGGCGCAGATGTGTTATTGAGTGATATAAACGATATAAGAAGATTACCAGGTAAACCACACATTAAAAAACCTATTATAGTAAAATTCAACACACCATTATTAAAGAATAAGGTCATTAAGGCAGTTAAGACCTTTAACATTCAAAATCAAGCGGAAAAACTAAATACTACCCATCTTGGTATTTCTGGATCACCCAGTCCAATTTATGTAGTAGAACATCTGACACCAACGGCCAGACGCCTATACTTTTTAGCCAGAGAATTAATGAGAAGTAAATTATTTAAATACTGTTGGACCATGAATGGTAAAGTTTTCTTACGACAAAATGATGGGGCACCGTTATTACATGTCACTAGTGAGTCTCAAGTGACATTACTCAAAAGTGGTGATAAGTGACTATCTATTACATACCTAAATCTAATTTATCAAAGCATTTACATTTCAGGAATACTTTTTGTTTTTATCACTATAAATTTGTCTGTACAGATTTTATTTGTAAGAAGGAATATTTTTTCATTCGCTTTTAACTTGAACCACACACACTCACGTAAACCAAATAATAAGCCCGCAGTGGTGATATTTCCGTGTCGTACATCTTGCTCTCACTCACTCCAAACAAGCTTCTATCCATCTCCCTCAGATTTGTTAGATTGGTTTGTTTTCATAGTACCCCATATATTCTATTATGTTTTTACCCACATAACAAAAACATCAAAACTCAATTCGAGACATTATCTTATTTTGGTTTATTATTTTTATACAAATGTGCAATTTTGTGTTTTCTTATTTTGTGGGATTATAAATGAATTTATTATTACCTTAAAACGGTTCATACGTAGTGACCACCTATTAATAATTAAAATTCACCTCGTTTGATAAAAATATTACATCTGACATCGACAAAATAAAAGTATCTAACGCGATACAATGTGATCCAGAAGACTGTATTACCCTGCTGCCAAACCCTAGTAAGTACCTTAAGCTTTTAATACAAAATATTAGGAGTATATCTTGTAATTGGACAGGAATGGAGACCTTTTTGTCTCGTCTAAAAATAGAAAGTGATATTATGATTTTTACCGAATGCTGGCTGTCTTGTCAACCCACTATTCCTAACTTAGATGGTTATAGACATTTTTTTACAAAGAAGATACATAACCAAAATGATGGAGTTGTTGTGTATATTAAAAATAATATATATGTTTCTGTGGATGAACAAAATGATCTGGAGGGAAGTTGTTTGATTTTAAAAATTAATAAAGACACAGCTATTGTTGCAATATATCGATCTCCGTCCTTTCGGGATACAAATAATTTCATAAATAGCCTTAACAGTATTTTGTCCTCGTTAGCTATGTATAAGAATGTCATTGTAACTGGTGATATTAATATCGATATAAAAAACAATAACACAGACTCGCGTTCTTCAGACTATCTAACGACACTTGCATTCCACGGTCTCCTACCGGCTCATATTTACCCAACCAGATATGACAACTGTCTTGATCATGTAATGATTAGATCCAGTTTATCTTCTACTACAATGGTAATTAATTCGTCACTAACAGACCACAACCCCATTATGTTTTGTCTCTCATCAAACATTAAAAACAAATTAGCTCCAAGTTATTATAACAAAATTAATGACGCTAAGCTTAGGGAAGATATATTTACTATTGATTTTCAACCAATTTTTGAGACTGATGAACCAAATGAAGCTGCCATATTTTTTGTAAACTCTCTGAGAAATGTAATACAGTCAAATACTATTATCAAATATATACCAAAACGTAAACGCGTAACAAAACCCTGGATTACACCAGGGCTCTTACGTTGCATTAGAAACAGGGATAAACTATTCAAAAAAGTTAAAAAATTTCCTAATAACGTCGTTTATGATACAACTTATCGTAGGTACCGTAATTTCTGTAATTCTTTATTGAAAAAAATAAAAAAAGAATATGAAAAAGGTGAAATTGAAAAAGCTGGAACTGATAATAAGAAAATTTGGACCGCTGTCAAAAAAATAACACATCTACAAAAATCTAAAAATTGTGCACAAAATTTACTCTCCTTATCAGAATCGCCACACAAAACACTGAATAAAATGAATAATTATTTCGTTGGTGTAGGCCGTCGCCTTGCAGATAGTATTCCGCATAATCAAACCCTCTTACCATTGTCATTAAATAATAACCTACACTCACCAATCAATTCATTTGTACTGGAGAGTGCGGACGAATCAGAGATTGAACGACTAATACTGTCGTTACGAGATGATTGCGCGGTAGGCTGGGATGGTATATCGAGTGGATTTCTTAAACAATACTCCAAAATATTAATCCGACCTTTAACATATTTATTTAATTTATGTCTCTCAAAAGGGGTCTTTCCACTGGTTTTCAAAAAGGCTATAGTCCACCCTATTCATAAGGGTGGAGAAAATGACCTCTTCTGTAACTATAGACCAATTTCTGTTTTGCCGGCACTTTCCAAAGTATTAGAACGACTTATTAACAATCGTCTCCGTAAGTTTTTAGATAAGCAGGAGATATTATCAGATAAACAGTTTGGCTTCAGACCAGCCCGATCTACATCTGACGCTGTCTCAAATCTGACTGATACCATCGTGAAACATCTAGACGAAGGCAAAAAGTGTCTAGGTCTCTTCTTAGACCTCGCTAGGGCGTTCGATACGGTCTCCATACCCATTCTTATTCAGAAACTGGAAAATATAGGCATTAGAGGCCTTCAATTAGATCTATTCAGAGATTTCCTGAGCAATCGGACTCAATGTGTTCAACTCGGTTCCCATCTTAGTGATGAGCTAGTCCTGGAATATGGAACTCCTCAAGGTAGTGTTCTTTCTCCCACCTTGTTTTTGATCTACATTAACGAACTTGGTCACCTCGATATACAAAATGGAGCAATGACCCTCTTTGCAGACGATACTGCGGTCATCTTCTGGGGTGATACTTGGGAAGATACTTTTAAATTGGCTCAGTCGGGATTTGACACAGTGTTAAATTGGCTTTCTAATAATTCACTTACATTAAATGCTAATAAAACCATAATGATTCCTTTCTATATACGCAACACTCCACCCTCTAATGCTTTTCGTCTGTTTGCCCACTGCTGTAGAATTTCAGATCAAAAACCCTGTTCTTGTCCCGAGTTAAAAAGAGTAAACACAATTAAATATTTAGGCATATTACTTGACTGCAATCTCAAATTCCGCGAACATATTAAATTGCTTACTAGTAGAACCCGAAAGTTGATTTACGTATTTAAACAATTAAGACATGTATCGAATTTTAAATTACTAAAAACGGTTTATTTCGCTCTGTGTCAGTCAATTCTCACTTACTGCATTACATCATGGGGCGGAGCATGTAAATCACACCTTATCACCCTGGAAAGAGCACAGCGTGCGCTTCTCAAGGTATGCACATTTCACTCCATCTACTACCCGACACATGAATTGTACCGAGATTGTGAAATTCTTTCAGTTAGAAAACTATTTGTTTTATACATAACTTTAAAACAACATCAAATATTACCCACCGATCTTGATACCTCAAAAAGACGTAAAGACATTATATACAAAAAACATCGCTTTAGAACAATACTTTCACAAAGATTTTTCTGTTTCCTCGGCAGCCATCTTTATAGTAATATAAACCGTATTTTGAACATATATTCATATTCACACTTCAATTGTAAAACTGCACTTAAAACATGGTTATTGAGTCTGACGTACGATGACACGGAGAAATTACTGAAGGTTGCGTATTAAATTACAACTTATGAAAATATTATTAAAATAATGTATATTGTGTAAGTGTGTGTAGGATATATCGGTTGTATAACCTTAACTATATAGGTGTATATATGTGTATGTATGTGTGTGTGTGTGTATATATGTATGTATATGTGTATGTATGTATATATATATATATATATATATGTATATGTATGTGTGTGTGTATGTGTGTATGTATGTGTATATGTATTAATGTTGTTATTATATTCATAACCAGAACAAATTGTAATATAGTGCCAACACCGTGGGGTGAGGACCTGGTGATCTGTAACACAGGTTTATCCTACTTCAGACACCAGTTCTTCACAATACATTAAATTATGTAACCTCCAAAAATAAATGTATTAGAATATAATAGATGTACAACTGGTATTGTGAAGAGAATAAACTTTATTATTATTATTATTATATTTTTTTATTTAGTGAACCATTAGCATTAGTACTTTTGGCGAATTTTCTGGAAAGATCAGCGCATTTAAAATTGATTATTTTATACCTTCTGTTGTATATTATAAAGTTTAGATTGGTACGAGCTTAGTATAAATGTAAATCTAATACGATAATAGACTTCCAATTATAAAATCTTTTAAAATTAAATTACAACGCTATATTTTACATGTTCAATTCGCCAAGAGTCTAACAGAACTTGCTTTTAAATCAGAACTGTTACGAACAATCGAGCGGTAACTGATATGCTTCCTATAAGTCCAAATAACTACAGAGATAATACTCACATATTAAAATAAGACTTGTCCAACTTATTTGATATAAATGTAGTATTATTAAACCTCACTAGATAATAATGTTATTTCTTACTACGCTAGAACTTGTACATCAACATCTGGGCCCATAACCTGTTTATACAAACTCGAGCCAATTTTGAAAAGTCCGTTTTTTAAAATGGCTCGATTGAGTGTCCGGTGATTGTAATTTTCAGCATTTGGGAAATATTTGCAGCCAATCAGAATCAATAATGTATTCAATTCTATTCTATTAAATAGATGGTCTTTAAGGACTTTAGACACGTAATTTTATTGTATTGAAATGTCTAGTGGGATTAAATATTATTACATTGAATTATTTGTATTTATTTTGGATACAAATACCAGAAATAGTTTATACATTGATCTCGTATGTATAAATATAATATATAAATTGCAATGCATATTATTATTAGATAATTTCTCATACAGTCAATACATTTTTACAGATTAAAGTGGTAACTATTACTAAATACTATCTACTTCATAAATTGTTCGAAGGCACATTTTTGTTTAAAGAATGTCCTAATCTTTACAAATTTAGTTCAACGCCGAAGCAGTGTGACCTAATATTGTTCTAACAATACGTTTCTCCAGTTTATGTACATGAGATGACAAGAAATAAATGAGGTCCTTTCTTTTTGGTTAAAATCACATCAAGTACAATAATGAAAATATATTTTATATCAACGTTTTATCTACAAACCGCTATGGCCGCACGTCATGTCAAACTGCTGCTTTAGTTATTTAACATAGTCTACTGTACAATATAGATACATAATATATTTTGATCTATCCGTTACAAATATACACATTCTCAGAAAGTTATCGCTCGCATTACGAACAAATGCACAACCATCTAATATTAATATTTGGTGGATACAACGAAAGGATACTGTTTATATATTAATATTGGTACTAACGGGTGCGAGCGAGAGGAGAATACTGTGACGTCACGCCGTGTGGGGGGCGTATAAATAGTCGCGCGCGGGCCCGCGGCCGCTCAGTAGCGCGGCGCTACCCGCGGCGACGACAGCCGCGGCGACCGCAGCGGGGAGCGGCGCGCTGCCTCGGGCTATGGCTTCAGCCGTTTGAACCCGGCACCGTCCTGCCCGAGCTTCAGCTCCTCGTACAGAGTTGGGTCCACCTCGCGAGCGGCGGGAATAGTGGTACTTGGATTTTGCAGTGTCTCCTGTCTCCACGCTGAGCTATTTGACACTCCATTGGCGACACCATTACCTCCGTTCGCGTTACCGTTTGGTACTGTTCCCTATTAAGTAATAAGAATAATAATTATTACTGTGTTGAATGATTAAAGAGATTATTTTGTAATAGTCAACGCTTACATTCACAATGGTGTCGGGATTCGGCTCCCTTAAATAACTTGGATTTTCAAATGCTACTCCTCCTTGTGCTTTTAATCTGAGATTCTGAAAAGAACATATTCATGATTTATTATTTTCTATCATAAAACTTATAAAAGACAATGTTCTTTCATTAGAGAAGCTGTAACATTCTTCTGTCTCTTACCTTTCTATGCCTATAGTAGAGGCCAGCAGCTAACAGTATAGCCGCAACGAGCACACAGGCGACCGCCAGGCCGACGGCCGTCGCACTGCTCGAGCTGGACACCGGTGCGGCTGCGGCGCCCGTCTCTTGTCCCGCGGTCGTGAACATGATCGGTAGGCTCAGAGATGATGTTCCTGTTATAGACAGCGTACATAAATGGTTTGAAGAAGTACATAGACAACTTGGGGAGGGGAAGAGAGTTTCTTATTCTAATTTAGAGTCTAGTGCTTTTAGTACTAGTAATATATCCTACCGCGCCGTCTTTTCTAGAAACTATCATAATCGTAGTTCGTTCCTGATAGACTCGTCGCAATGAACTAACTGACCAAACTTCAGACTCTGGTGCCTCGACAGCTTATACTAAGCGGAGTTGAAGTTACCATACCATTTTTCTCCATTGAAAAAAAGTTTATGTGTATTTTATCTACCGATATTTTTAAAGCAGGAATTAATTATATGGTCCATCAGGAATCATGTACGAAGCTAACTTCATGCTATGAAGTTACGATTTGAATGTTTTGCAAGTTCCTACTCACATAAAGCCTTGAAGCAAGAGCGAAGTTTTTTGTTGTGCCTTTACTAGTTTATTTTCATGTTACTGTGTAGTTTATTTTCATCAAAAATTATGAATTGGCGCTTTTATTTACCAACTTCGGTAGAATTAATGTGCAGTATATCTTTACAATTTAGGAAGAATTATGACCTGATGCACTTACCAACATCATTGGCAGCCTTCACCACGCATTCGTAACGCACGTCATCCTGCAAGCCTGTTAGCACGACGCTCGTCTCGCTGGTGTCCAATTTTTCTGGCACTTTGGCGCCGTACGCCCTCCAAAACACACGGTACAGGTATACTGTCTGCGGATTCTTTAGCGGTTGATCCCAGCTGTGGAGGAAATAATCCCATGTTTTGGTCTATAGTAAAAAAAATTACGAGAATCCGATTTGAGTACGTGCTTAACTGAATATTTTGCTTGCCAAATTGTGAATGCTTATCAAATTGTGGGTATTTCAAAATGCATTCTTTTATGAAACTTGAACTATAATATAAATTGGCAGCAATTGATGGAAAATGGTCTATTGCCGATGGAATAACACTATGAATATCACAGGATACATTTACTTCTCATGGGTTACCATTTTTAAGGACAAAAGAATTATGGTTTCGTAACTAGTGAAAGGACGGAATTTTCGAACTAAAATGTAGTTAATTAACGGCAGAAATATGAGTGAGACCAATATCGATAATTTTGGTACAAAATGTCCTTTTGGTTGTAAGAGGTACTTCTTATGCAGTCAATGCACACAAATTGCAAAGTAAAAATATGATCATGAATAAATTATTTTCTAGTTTTTTTTTTATACCATAAAAGTGGCAAACGAGTATACTGTCCATCTGGTGGCAAACGGCCACTGTAATCCATGGACGCCTGCAATACTAGGGGTGTAAAGTGCGTGTTGCCGATCCTGAAGAAACCTTCATATATCGTTTGAAGAACTCCATTCTGTACTCTATAGGAAAAATCTCGGCAAGGAGCTTATTCCACAGCTTAAGCGTTCTAAATCTGAAAATCTGAAGACGTTATCAATCTACCTGAGCAGTACAGAGTGTGGTGTCGGCGCCACATGGGCCTTCAAGTTCCTGGGCGGTCCGGGCAGCTTGCCGCCCGTGTCCCGGAAGCAGGCGAGCGCGCGGCGCGCGTGCTGGATGGCGCACGAGCGCGACACCGTGCCGCCGCGGCACAGCTCCAGGCACGCGCGCGGCACGCCCCACGACGCGCAGCAGCTGCGGTGATCTGACCACCGACATCGTTATCATCATTATATCTATTTATTTATTTAATAAGGTTCACTTACATCTTCTATATTTTACATGCTACTTAATCAATAACACAAAAATAATTTTGCCTAATGTAATAGTACATTATTGCAGCGGCCAGCTACTGAGGCATTGATGGACGAACGTGCAAATGTGGGCTGAGGCGTAGCCGAGGCACAAATACGTGAGTCCATCAATGCCTAGTTGTGGCCAAGGCTTGTATAGTACTTTTCTTAAACAAGGCGCGGAAATAAAAAAAACACAATTTTACTTTTTAAGTTCAATGACGAATAACGAATAATAATAATTTTTCATGCATTGTTTTTTTTCAATAAACGGTTTTCTATTTGCTAGCCAGTTCGAAATTTAAATAAATTCTTGTATTAGTTACCGCCTTGGTAGCCATGCTTCGAAGTAAAAGGTCATTCCATTTTTAAATTACAGGACAGATATGAGTTTACATAATACTAGTAATTTATCTGGCCGCAAAATACGACAGATATGGATTTTCATACAACTTTTGCCTGTCGCTGCCCGCATGTATCTGGCCAGTACGGCAATTTTGATTTATCACGAAGAAGATTGTCAAAATAATGCTCACATTTCCAAGCATGTTTGAAAAAAAGTCTTTACAGGTGAACACCACATGCACTATCATAATATTTAATAATTATTAACAATGTCAATATTTGAATAATAAATAGATTAAGAGTTTACGTCTAAAACTTTCCTTAATAAGTTATATCTGCTGTTAATGGATCCGAAATTAATGTCAATCTGATGGCTGATTCTTGAACATAGGCTGTTGCTATGCTACCCATTTCACGACCATTAAATTTCCTTCCTTTCCTTACTTTTGCCGTGCGTAGAATGGGCATAGAGTGGGCTGCCCCTCCCTTTCTCGTAAGTATCGTAAGAGGCGACTAAATGGGCTTAATGATCAAGGGATGGGCAGCAGCGTCTGCGGTTACTGATGCAACTGCCAAGGCAACTACAAGCAATCCCTCCTATATGAGGGAGGTCTATGTTTAGCTGTGGACAGTTAGAAGCTGATAGGATGATGTTGATGATGAAGAATTGAGTTTTGCTATACGACGGATTATAACCATATGAGTCATTATAATAGTGTGTCAGAAACTGACTCATAACTGTTTCGATACTTCGGATGATGATGCTAGAGATACTATAGATGATAATGACAAATGACTCACCAGAGCCATCGGCGGCGCACTTCATGAGCTTATCGAAGTCATCGAGACATTCAGGCCTGTCCATGATGTTGTCCATGTCGATGTGGAAGCTACACGCGTCGATGCACGCCGATGACACGTTCATCTACACGAAATTGATCATTGTCAATGATAATAGAATTTACAGAGTTTCGTATTAAATTATGGCCAATAAAACTGTGCTCTGAAAGAATTTGATCAGAATTGTCGAAGAGTGAATGTTGCTTAATGGCGTTTATAATTTTTAATAAGTATTATTTTCCTATGTTCTCTCTTCGTTTTCCTCATTTTTTTTTCTGTTGTATGTGTGCTGTTAAGTATGTTTATGTTATGTATATATTTAATTGTGTATATATTATATATGTATGTGTATGTATGTATGTATCTATATATGTTTGTATATGATAATATTTATATAATAGTGCGCCACCTACTCTTTGTCTTTTTCTCAATGTTCTCTACCCAAAGGTTGTCTGGAAGAGATTGCTTAGCGATAAGGCCGCCTTTTGTATCATTTCTCATTAATATTTACTGTATTTGTTATTTCTCTTGTTACTTGGTGCAATAAAGTGTAAATAAATGTTTGAGAGCTTTTTTTCAATATTGTTTTTGAAATTTATCTATATGAAAGTTATCACTGCATCAGATGAGATAACACATTTATGATTAATAACACACATGATGATTAACACTAATTGCAGTATATCATGTCATAAAACACACACAAACACACACACACACACACACACGCACACGCAAACGCACCCGCACATGCACACGCACACGCACACGTACACGCGCACGCACACATGTACACGTTCACGCGTACGCGCACCCGCACACGTACGCACACGCATACGCACACACCGGCGGTAGTCACTTACCATCATATGAGCCGCATGCTCATTTGCCCCCTGTGTTGTAAAAAATCCACACGCACAAATACGCACACACACACATACACATACACAAACACACACATACACTTACATACATAATATCAGCTATGTGAATGTTTACTTTTTAATAAGGAATATTTTATAAATTACAAATCTGTAATTGGTTGTAAGTATTAAAAATAACACTAAAATTATATAGATTTTAATTAAAAATTTGTAATAATAAATATTTAAAAATAAATAAATAAATTCTCGTTTTGCCATTTTACAGATACAAAACACATTTAATAATTGAGATGGGAGAAAAAATTAAGTTCAAATAACACAAGAACATTGTCAGAGGATTTATTTAATCCAGCTACACGTTATTCATAACAATTCTTACATTTGTTACAAATTGTAATGATCGATATTATGAACTTCACTCCGGTAAACTCCGCGTCCTTTTGTTAAATTCGGGCGAATTGAGTTGAAACTGGAAATGCTCTGGGCCTCCGAGCAAACTTTATTTAATTTTCTCAAATGTTTCAAACACAGTCGCTTTGTTTTGTTCATTATTCGGCGATCTTTTTGTGAGAGGACAAAATTTTACACCAAACATCGTCTCTGCTTGTTTTTTGTTGCAAAATATGTTTTTACTAGCTTTTACCAGTGTCTTTGTACGTGTGATTTCGCCGATTGATCAAACAAACAAATTCACTTTTATATTTATACTACTAGCTGTATACCGCGGCTTCGTCCGTGTAATTCAGTATATGAAGTTACGTATATTCTAAGTTTTTTTTTTTAAACTTAGATCAGATACGTGATAAATTAAAAAAAAATACATATATAATTGTAATGTGCAAATGCATATGTATACATGAGAGGTTAAGTTTGGTTTGATGAAAGATACAAAAATGATCTTGTTTTTATAGAATCCTCACATTTACCAGCTCACATTGGTAAATACTAAGATTTACTGGTAAAACTTAAGTATATGATACGAGTATATACCTGTGTACAACATTCGGTAACGTTGTGGTGCGGCGATGTTGGCCGCAGTCTCACAGAGACCGGCCTCAGGGTCTTCCCGAAGGCATTCTCCGCATGACAGAAGTAGTCACCTTCGTCTGCTTCTGTTATCTTCTTTATTATTAGTCGCATCGTGTATTTCGTTGGCTCCTGCGAAGATAATTTTGCATATAAGTTGTGTATTGTAATAACTCTTAAGGGTACGGTGAATTGCATTTTTTAAATTAAGAATACGTGCACGTAATAATAAAACTGACACATAAAATCCTTCATTAAAATCGGTATTCTCAACGGACTTCAATGAAAAGGTAGTTCCCAATTTAGTTGTATTTTGTCTATGTTTGTTACCTCACAACTCCATCACTTGTAAGTCTATTTAGAAAATTCTTTTTTGTATTTGAAAGGATACACTTACAGGCTACAGTTTAGTCTAATAGAAATTTTATCAAAATCGGTCCAGGAGTTTAGTTTTTTAATTAAAATAACTGATTTTTCTACAATTTAAGTTTGCTGCTTTTGTATGAAATACAATCTCTATCATATTTTTGTTTAGTTTGCATGTATTTATTGCACATATATAATGTTATATTATTATTCATGTACTTTTATTATTTACATATGTAGGTATATAGAGCTGTTTTTATTGTATTATATATTAAATTTTTTTACTGGGTATTATTTAGTTTATCTTTAATTGTACGGTTATTACCCTTATACATTCTACAGTTTTCTTTCAGCTTCTCAAAGGTTGACTGTAAGAGATCCCTTTATGGGATAAGTCCGCCATTGTATATTAAATCATTTATCAGTATTCAATGAGAATTATGTACAATAAAGATTTTACAATACAATACAATATCTTGTTAAATTATTAAATTAAGCGGGGGCGGATTACCGATTGGTTTCATTGAAATTTTATCAAAATCGGTTTAATTGTTTAGTTTTTAGAAAGAAAGAAGTAATTTGATCGAAGAAGTATGCGACCCACACAATAGCGCACAAAACAAGGGGAAAATAAAAAAAAAGCAATAGTATACAAATAGAAAGCAATCAAATTAAATTCAGTTCAATCAAAGTCTAAATTTAAAAAAAATTAAAAAGTTCAAGTAGTTTTTTGTTTACTTAAAAGAAATAATTTTCTCAATTTATAGTGAAATATTATATATATTATTTTTATTTTTATTAACAATTCTTATACCAAAATATGTGGGCGAAGAAGGTTTCCAAGTTCCATTCCTGGTTTACCAGGAACTAAACTTGGAAATATATGTATAGATATTAGCAGATAGAATTTAGAAGACTAGAGCCGTGAAGTTAAAAGGAAACAATTGAGATGCGTGTCAATTTCGAATTTGATAAATAATAATATAAAAATTATAAACAATATAACTCTACATATTGCTCACCCCTATTAAATTAATTAATAATAGAAATAAAAATAATAAAAAATATTTTTGAAAATATTTTAAACGCCTAACCCTGCATTTTGGGGGGAAAGGGATTGTTAGTAAGTAGGTTAGTCCCCATTGCTATCAATATACCTTATCAGGCCGATCTCCACGCCCCCCTCCGGTTCCCCCTAAAAAACCATCGTGATTAATATATTGTTGAATTCGTCACGATGGTCTAACTGACCTACTTCATCCTCACCTATCATCCTTCACTGGTGCCCTGCCGGTGTATACCGATAGCGCGGGCGGGGTTATCATTCCATTATCATCCATTTAAAAAACCCTGCATTTTGGTATCTTAAATTATTAATAGGCTGAAAAATGTAATAAATAAATCATTTAATAATTTATTTTCATTTTATTACTGAATTCAGTCACAGATTCTAGCCAAAATGTATATTTTACAATAACGAAGTTATTACTGTACTGACTACCATGTGTAAGGTTTATATTAATACTTTAATTGATCCCTCGAGCTTGTCAGACACTTTGAGTACAACTGTCTAAAGAACCGCCTATAAATAATATGTAAAAGGTCTAAAACGTACATCAAGATAAACAATTCTTAGGGAGTACTGGTATTATTATGAAAGGAGAACCGTTTAGATAGACTGGTCTATTGACAGTTTCATGAATAACAATGAGATTTGAGATAATCGAATCTCCATAATATTAATTGGGGATCGGTGCGACGACGAGCTAACAAGATAAGACAATATCCCCGGCTCCACTCCGATGTGGGGAATTCAATTTTCTTCTTACATCTCAAACTGTTGTAATTCTTTTGTACGATAAAAAAATACTTTTCTAACCTGCTTGCTTCAATCAAGTTTAAAAACAAGGAGGTTCTGAATGGATGAATTTGGTTGTATTTGTTTTTGGTTACCTTATAACTCCGTCAGTTTAAATTCTTTTTTCATCCGAAAAGATATATTTATAGATTGGTTCCATTGAAATTTTATCGAAATCGGTTCAGTAGTTAAGTTGTTAAATCTAAATTACTGGATTTGTCATAATTATAGTACATTACTGCAGCGCCCAGCGACTGAGACATTGATGGACGAACCTGCAAATGTGGACCGAGACGTAGCCGAGGCACACATACGTGAGTCCATCAATGCCTAGTTGTAGCCAGGGCTTGTATAGTACTTTTCTCAAACAATGCGCGGAAATCAAAAACACAATTTTACTTTTCAAGTTCAATGACGAATAACGAACAATAATAATTTTTCACGCGCCATAATGTTCCTTTGTTTTTTTTTTCAATAAACAGCTTTCTATTTGCAAGCCAGTTCGAAATTGAAATAAAACCTTTTATTAGTTACCTCCTTAGTAGCCATGTTTCGAAGTAAAAGGTCATTCCGTTTTTAAATTACAGGACAGATATGAGTTAACATAGTAATTTATCTGGTCGCAAAACACGACAGATATGGATTTTCATACAACTTTTGCCGGCCGCTGCCCGCATGTATCTGGCCAGTATTGCAATTTTGACTTATCTCGAAGAAGATTGTCAAAATAATGCTCACATTTCCATGCATGTTTGAGAAAAATTTGTTTTTTTTTTGTGTTTCACAATGTTAATACAATGTATATTTATTTATTATTGACATAGTTTGCATAAGTTTTTTTTTTTTTTTTTTTTTTTTTTTATACAACAGAATGGCAAACAAGCTGACGGCCCACCTGATGGAAAGTGGTAACCGTCGCCTATAGACATGAGCAGTATCATGGACATAACAGAGTATACTGTTTCGCCAATGATACTCCCCATGCGTTGCCATTCCTGAGGACTCAGGTGTTATTCCTCTGTACCCAGTAAATTCACGCCATATCCCACCCTTCAAACCGAAACACAGCCATGCAAACACAACTGCTTCACGGTTGAAACACGAGTGGGACAGAGGTACCCAAGCAATCGACTTTTGTACAAAGTCTCCCTCTGGTAAATAATAAATAAGTAAATAAATGCCCCTGAATACGTTACATCTAGTTCCAGAAATAAGTGAGACCAGATAAATCAGATAGGTCACCTCTTCCTTGCCCGTGATTGTCGTAGGAGGGGACTAAGGAAACTTAACAGTCGAGGGGTAGGTAGCAACGCCCCTTTTAAAAGATCACCAAATCCTAACTGCGGCTGCAAATCCGCCTGCCAAGCGTGGCAACTATTGGCGAAGTCCTTATGGGAACAGTTAACAATATAATAAATTGTTTTTAATAATATTTGTACACCCAATGATGGCAACACATAGCGTCAACCTCATTTTCCTATCCTTATCCCACTTACGTATATAAATTTTGAGGTCGGCATAATATGTTTATCCATATTACATACATATACTGAAGATTTTGGATTTCAGTTTTATAACCATTCGCCTGCCTGATATCCACAAAAGTCGATTGCTTGGGTACCTCTGTCCCATTCGTGTTTCAACCGTGAAGCAGTTGTGTTTGCATGGCTGTGTTTCGGTTTGAAGGGTGGGATATGGCGTGAGTTTACTGGGTACGGAGGAATAACACCTGAGCCCTCAGGAATGGCAACGCATGGGGGGTATCATAGGCGAAACAGTATACTCTGTTATGTCCATGGTAGTGCTCATGTCTATAGGCGACGGTTACCACTTTCCATCAGGTGGGCCGTCAGCTTGTTTGCCATTCTAAGTTGTATAAAAAAAAAACGAAACATATATAATACAAAATCCCATTTGTAACTGTATGTATGTTTATACAAACAAATTATTGATTGTCTAAAAAAAAAAATTAGTAAATCTTACCTCAGGGTCGGCCAATAGTTGAATGGTATAGTTGGGACCATCAATCACAGGGTTCCTGCCGTTGGGCTCCCTCCAAAATGCAATAGTCGGTTTCGGCAGTGCTTCAACTCTGCATTCTAATATCACGGAGTCGCCGGCGGCAGCCATTGTTATGCCTGACGCTTGAATTGTCGGTATATCTAGACAAAGATTTTTTTTTTTATAAAGAAATAAAAGACTGTGTAAAAAATTAAGTTAAGAGGGAAATTAAGAGTAGCAAAGTCTGTAAAATTCACAGGGGTAAAGATGCGGAATATTGTAAGTATTACTAATACATTATAATACTTAATATTGTATGTTAGTAATTGTTAGTAATGGGGCGTAAAAGCCCCATTGTTAGTAATAAATCTTGTCGGGTCAACCTCCACGCAGTTTAATTTGGAAACTATCGTGGTTAAATCTTTTTGAATGCGTCATGATGGGCCAATAGACCTGAAGTGATCCTCACCTATAATCTCTCACTGGTGCCCTGGCAGCGTATACCGATAGCGCAAGTAAGGTGTACAATTTTATTTTAATCCATTAAAAAATATCGCATATTATACGCTTTAATGGCTGAATAGATTTGAATGAAATTTGGTATACATCTATTTCTGCTATTGTATAGCTCGCCATTGATAGATAGTTCACCCCTATAACTCGGAGCCTGGGTGGTCATGTATGGTGCAGTTTCAGAGATGTTTCCTCCCACGAACGCTCAGGTTATGAAATGGGCTCCTTGTCGAGGTTTTTCCAAGGGATTACAACGTGGGGTTCTTCAAAAAAGGGGTAAAGAGGTTTTTTCAGGGTCGTGTAATTGTTCTAGTATTGCAGGCATTTATAGGCTACAGTAACCGCTTACCATCAGGTAGGCAGTGCTTGTTTGCCACTTAAGCGGTATATAAAAACACAGATGGATCATATACTAGATTAATATACAGGATACTTTTGATCTTAGCACATGCGTGTAAAGTCGTGGGATATTCCTCCTATTAAATAAAAAATGTGAAAGTGTGTAAATATGTTTGGAGGTTTGTTACGTACATATACTCTTTTTTATACCGCTGAGGTGGCAAACAAGCATACGGTCCACTTGATGGTAAGTGGTCACCGTAGCCTATGAACACTTGCAATACCAGTAGTACATGTGCGTTGCCAACCCTGAAGAAATCTCTTTAACCCCCTTTTGAAGAACCCCATCCTGTAGGGTCTTGGGAAAACCTCGACAGGGAGCTCATTTCACAACCTGAGTATGGACTGTATTATTTTCATCTCGGAATATCGATCTTGTGAGATAGTTTCATTTTTTTTTTCATTTAAATCTTTCTTTAAATTGTTGAACGTTTAAGTAAATGAACGTAAATAGTAATTAAATTGCATTATCAGTAACATTAATAGAGATCAGAATATTGTAAGATCACATTTTAATTGCAAGACTAGCTTAATTGACTTACGTGTATTGTTTGTATTGTAATTGTTTGTATCTATAATAAGTTTACTATTGTAATCTTATGGAGGAAATAATAAAGTATATCTATCTATCTATTTTAGTCGAAGTGACCTAACCAAGTCGAGCATTCTCACCAAAAAAATGCACATAAGTCAATTCGTTTAATTACAGTTAAAATATAATACGTACTTACGAAATGTTTAACAACAAAATTGTAAGATCAAAGGTATCAGTTAAGTAAGATCTCATAACAGTAAAAGATGCAAAAGGTAATAACTTACGCGATATGTTGATCTTCCTGGAGGCCTGCATCGGTGTCCCGTAGCCGTTGTCCGCGTAGCAGGAGATCTGGTCCATATCGCGGGTCACGTTGTGGATCACCGTCACCATGTGTCGGGTCACCTCCTGCCTCACCAGTCGACCTGCGCCATAACGTGGGGTTAAAGTATATATATATATATATATATATATATATATATATATATATATATATATATATATATATAGTATAAGTATATATATAATAAGTAGTGTTTATGTGTTATATGTGTATTTCTTATGTATTATTATGTATAATTATTTCAGTATGTTGCTATAATTATGTCACATATTTTTCACCACATCTGCCCTTCATACGCTTTCCGTTTCTACCTAATGGTTAGCTGGTAGAGAATGCCGTATGGCATTAAGCTCGCCACTTTTACCAATTTTTTTTTGTGCAATAAAGAATAAATAAATAAATAAAATATATAAACTACTAATTCATACAAATACATATATTCGTATTGTGTTTAAAGATCTTTATGACACAGTAGTCGGCAATGTGCACCGTTATCGTCCCGTGGTGTTGCAGATATCTACTGGTTATGATAATATAGAATTTATAATAGATAATATAAGATAGAATTTAATTAAATTGATGAAATTGAAATTGAATTACTTAACTATTGAAATTTTTATGAAAATTAAAAAATTACGACGCCCTCCTCGCTTCTAATTGCTGTGCCCGACAGGTTCTACAATATACTTTATTAATAATTAACATCTTTTGTAATAATATTATAGAATGTAAAAAAAAAATTGAAATTGAAATAATAGGTTACTTTTAGACGAGTCATATAGTAATAAATATTTTTTTTTAATTAGAACAAAAAGATATAAAAAAAATTAATTATTATTATTACTGTATGTCTCGGTATAGATATAGTAATTCTTTTAATATAAAAAAAAAGTTACCCATTTGCACGACTGACCTGATATATATAGCGATATAGTCGGTGTTGGTGTACCCATGGCGATACACAGGATTGTCATGCTGGAGCCTTCCACTACGAGGTTGACTGGGTTCACAGTTGGTGGCTGTTGGGAACATTAACACATATGTATAAATGTCGCGTCACAAATACGTGTATATCGAAAATCAAATCAAAAAGTAATACATAAGATTAAATATGAGAATTAATTTTTGGATTGATATGTATGAGAATGTATAAAAGTATAGTTGTAATTCAGTAATAAAACTCATGAATAAAGTTAGCCAAATAGATTTATGTCTTTGAATAGCATCTGTTTAGATATATTCGTATTTCTACCGTGAATCAGTTGTGTTTGCATAGCTGTCTTTCGGTTTGAAGGGTGGGATATGGCAGTTAATTTACAGGGTACAGAGGAATAACACCTGAGTCTTCATGAATGGCAATGCATGGGCAAAACAGTATACTCTGTTATGTCCATGGTACTGCTCATGTCTATGGGCGACGGTTACTACTTTCCATCAGGTGGGCCGTCAGCTTGTTTGCCATTCTAAGTTGCATAAAAAGAAATAAATATTAATCTATTCATATATGTCTGTATTTATTTAATAAAATCATATTAAAATTATAAATTGTATTAATTATAGAACTATACTTGTAGTAATTAACATCTACAGCGATATTTAATATCATCTTTCCTATTTCCGACTCGCTTATTTCACTTGAGCGGGTTTAAAAAGAGGTCGTATTAAACCAAAAGTATTCTACCTCATTACGTTTTATATTGCTCTCGGTTTCCCTCCATTTCTTGTAATACTTCTAAGGGATAATTTGCATTTTATTGTTACCAAGCAAATTGGTGGTTACGCTGAGAGGCCAAGTCCACGATTACATTTAAACAACCTGATTTCTTTCATTTTCATGATTATTATAGAATATAACGAGGTGATTTTGTCATGATGCTGACATGATACCAAGGACGGAGGGGAATATATTTCGTTTGGTTATTCTCTTTGTGTTTCTTTATTTTCTGTTTATTTCTGTACAGTTACGTTGATGTTTTAATTAAATGTGCTTTATTGTTAAGTCATTATTGTCTAATGTATTTAGTGATGCAATTAAAAATGTATGTTTTTGTATGGAAATTTAGCGAAGTGTATCAAGTTTTTTTTTACCGAATTTGGAAAGACGAAGATTCAAATAGATTGTAATTTTACTAATGAATACCAGTAATGACAAGTTTTTAAAAATATTTTCTAATTAACTCATATTGTACAGTCATGTATTGTGACTTTAACCTACATCAAGGATCAAGTTGATGGAAATAGCTAGTTATTTTTCCTTAGGACTCACCTCGACATAAAAAAGTTAGCAAAGTTTTTTAAGTCTTTTGAGAGGAGTGGAGAGACGAGTTTGCCAGTAACAGATCTAGCAATAGGGCATATTGCTAGCAATATACGGTATATTGCTAGCAATGGTCAGGTCGACTTCATAATTCTTTTCGGAAACAACCGTGGTTATGAGGTACGTGACACCCCTATTGTTGCAGGTGTCCATAGGCTACAGTGACCGTTCACCATCAAACGGGTTGTGTACTTGCTTGCAACCTTCTTGGTTATATCCTGGTGAATTCGTCACGATGGTCCAATCGACTTGATTTCGTCCTCATCTATTATCTCCTATTGGTACTGTTACGAACAGCATATACTTTTTATTCAAAACTGTTATTCAAAAAATATATTTCAAAAAAAGCGTTCACGCTCACTTTTTATCTTTATCTGAGCAGTAAGTGCTTTATATTATTCCCAAATTCGTGTATAATATAGTATATATCATATATGTGTATATTTGTTATTCATATATATTTATTCGTTTATATATGTAATTTTAGTATGTATATATATCAATAATTAGTAGTACCGCATTCGAGTATTCTGACACTTCCCTACGGTTGACTGGGAGAGAATGCTTTTAGCATTAAGTCCGCCATGTACACATATATGTACTAATGAATAAATAAATAAATAAAAATACTCATAGGGCAGGTAAAGTTACTGTTTGTTTCCCTAAAAACTCCAATAATATAATGGTTAGTTATATAATTTCCTATTTAAAATCCATCTTAAGTTAATCATTCAAGATCAAGGTATCAGACGGCAATGGGTACACTGCTGTACTATCGTTCCACAACCTTAATTCATATTGCAAGTAAAGCAATAGAAAATAGTTAGTTACCTCCAATGTATTTCCTATTTAAAACTCACCTCAACATACGCAGGGTACGCAGGGTCCGTCCAAGCCAGCAAGGTCTCTGATGGTAACGAGTCGCCTGCTGCAGTGTGGGCCTTCACCCACACCACGTATTGGGTGTTGGGCGTCAGACTCTCCAGTGTGTGGCCTGGTACCGACGTAGATATGCTGGTCACGTTGCTTTGTCCAAGTTGTGTGGGCGATTTGAAGTAAAGTCTGTTCAGGTGGAAAGATGACGAATTAGAAGCTTCAAGAAGGAGAAAGTTTATGCGATTTTTATTTGGATCTGATTTTTATAATTGTTTTTTTTTTTTATTTAATACTTTATTGTACATACTAGTTATAAAAATATGACAGAGGTAAACAAAAGTCCAAAGGCGAGCTTAACTCTGATAGAGTTTTCTTCCAGCAAACCCAAAATGGAAAGGATACAGCAGTGTACAATTTTTAAACAGCCAAAATTAAATTAATTACATTATATTTTATCGTACAAATACACATATAACATAATTGTTTATGGAACCAATAGGATTTATTCTCGTGGCGGTCTTTTAGTTGAGCTGGATTTTTTTTCTATAAAAGAGGATATTAGCTCACCATTAACTTTGTAATTAGACAATATTAGTGACGTGGCAAGCCACCATGGTATAGAGTCCTCCTTTACATTAGTTTATGGTAATTTGTTGCTTTAGTCGCCTTTTAAAACATTATTGGTGATGAAAATATACCATGACGATAAGCTCATTTTAAAAACCTTTTTTACGACTAGAAATAGCAAAAAACGACAGTACATTGCAAGTAATAAAGTTGAATAACACCATAAACGTCTAAGAATATGCTTACCATCGATAATACTCTTTATGTGAAGATTAAGTTGCTAAGTAAACTTACGTATAGGATATCTTCTCGTCAGGCAGCGAAATTTGTGGTGGTTGCCAAGTGAGTGTCAGCCATGTTGCCGAATGTGACGATACAGACAACGAATGGGGCGGCGATGGTATTCCAGAGACTTCTTTTTCTTCTGCAAAGCAGTATATCGTCAATCTATCAGGATTGGTCTATATCTATTAAATTCTTGCAATACAATAACTTGCCAATTTAGAATGGGCCGTTTATAACTGTCCTTGTAAATCTTATGAAACAGTTCTATACTTACCTCCTTGTGTATAGTTGAAGATGACCATACTGGAAGGCAGCGATGATCCGTGACTATTCAGAGCTACTACGAACATCTGGTAAGTGCTGTTGGGAATGAGCGAATGAAGCTCTATTGACGTTGTATTGGTTTCGTTCATCATACCCTGCGAAAGGCATCATGAGATGATTTTCACGGTCTCATGACCAAAAGACTACAGCGTATTAATAGCAGTAGAAGTTCATATGATAAAGAATGAAAGCGTAACATGAAAGCGGAAAATGATAATCGTCGCCTATAGACATGAGCAGTACCATGGACATAACAGAGTATACTGTTTCACCCATCATACCCCCCATGCGTTGTCATTCCTGAGGACTCAGATGTTATTCTTCTGTAACCAGTAAATTCACGCCATATCCCACCCTTCAAACCGAAACACAGCCATGCAAACACAACTGCTTCACGGTTGAAACACGAATGGGACAGAGATACCCAAGCAATCGACTTTTGTACAAAGTCTCCCTCTGGTAAAACCTCTCAATCCTCTTACCTGGGAGAAAGCTGGAAGTGTGTTGTAAGTGTATGGCTGCGTATTATTGTTGATCTTCTGCCAGTGCACTATATAAGTGGTCCCGTTATCGGCTTCTTGTGGCGCTACCCATTCGAGTATCACAGCGCCCTTGCTGGACACCGTGGCGTGGACTTCACGCGGAGGACCCGGCAGTAACCCAGTACCTGGTGGAATTAAATGGCTATAGATTTTTACTACCAAATGGATTTTTTAAGCAAATAAACTGGGAGGGGTTGTTTGTAATGCGGACTACTAGGCCTATTGCTAGCAATGTACTCTGTCAGGTAGATCTCCATGTGGTCTCCGCTAGAAACCATCGTGCTAAAATCTTGGTGTATCATCACGATGGGCTAACTGATCTGTCTTTTTATCTCATCTATCATCCCTCAGTGATGCCCCGCCAACGTATACCGCTGGCACAGGTGGGGTTACTTCAGTGCTATCCATTAAAAAAACTCCATGTTGGCGTGATGAAACTAGCGGGAGAGATATTACCTTCTTCGAAGCACTGCACGATGTTGCCGATGTAGGGCACGCAGGCGTTGAGCGCGCCGGCGGCGGCGCCCGCGCACGCGCCGCGGCACTCGGCCGGCACGCCGCGCCGCGCGCAGCACCACGCGTGGTTGCGGCCTGCGACCACCGCCGCCCATTATATTTTATGACATTCAGAATGGCAAACAAGCTGACGGCCCATCTGATGAAAAGTGGTAACCGTCGCCTATAGACACAAACTACACCGTGGACATTACAGAATACACTGTGATATCCGTGAAATACCTCATGCGTTGCCATCTCTGAAGACTATGATGTTATAACTCTGTAATTTCACTGCCATATCCCACCCTTCAAAACGAAACAGAGTCCAAAACGTGTGCTTCAAGGCAGAAACTTAACTGGCACAGAAGTATCCATGCAGGCAACTTTTAAGCAAAGTCTAGTACAAAGTCTCCCTCTGATACATCATTCTACCGGCAAGGGATCACTCTTTATAAAAGACTCACGAGAGTTAGTCAGACGGCTTCATATCGACACCCGTATGACCTAAAATATTCAATGACAGAATATCAGTGCTTGGCTCTTTTGAGGGCGAAGCAATAAACTGAGTTGTGACCATTTTGTATTGTTAAGGCACACGCACAAAAGATAAATTGTACTCGGCTTTATGTATTTTTTTTTATTCATTTATGTTACCTCGCTTTTTATGTATATCTATATATGTTGTAATTTGTGTGCTGTAAGTAATGCAAATAAATTATCTTTTTTTTTTATACAACTTAGAATGGCAAACAAGCTGACGGCCCACCTGATGGAAAGTGGTAACCGTCGCCTATAGACATGAGCAGTACCATGGACATAACAGAGTATACTGTTTCGCCCATGATACCTCCCATGCGTTGCCATTCCTGAGGACTCAGGTGTTATTCCTCCGTACCCAGTAAATTCACGCCATATCCCTTCAAACCGAAACACAGCAATGCAAACACAACTGCTTCACGGTAGAAACACGAATGGGACAGAGGTACCCAAGCAATCGAATTTTGTACAAAGTCTCCCTCTGGTAAAATCTATTTATCTATCTATCTAAACGTATTTTAGTTATTTTAATTTATTTAATTACATGTGCTTTTGTCCTGATTACATGATATTTAATATCATCAAATAGTGCGGTCAACTGTATCGAGCAATTATAAATAATCAAAGGGAAAGTAGGTACTAGAATAATGATCTTGCTTGAGTAAATGCAGTATAGGGTCCACAATATATTTATTTATTTATTTACACTTTATTGCACCAAGTAACAAGAGAAATAACAAATACAGTAAATATTAAGGAGAAGTGATACAAAAGGCGGCCTTATCGCTAAGCAATCTCTTCCAGACAACCTTTGGATAGAGGACATTGAGAAAAAGACAAAGGGTAGGTGGCGCACTATTATATAAATATTATCATATACAAACATATATACATACATACAGTAGTAACTTCGTGCAAACAAACACATTGTAAGGCGACTCATTACAAAATGGGGTAATGACCTTCAAAATATTACAGATGATCGATAGATTGAGTTATAACTTTGTATTTACTCATTTTTTAGAACGTTAGAAGGAAAATTAGAAGCCGTCTTACCTCCAGCTCCACAACGCAACAGCTTGTGGAATTCTAAAGCGCACAAAGGCGCAAGTGTACGTAGATCAGACATTTTGGCGTCGTACGAACACAGCGGCATACATACTCCAGCCAGTTGGACCTTTTCACAGCACTCTGTCACGTTATAGGCATTTGCTTCTTCTTCTTCATCTACGTAAACCTAAAAGCAGTACTTACATTAATAACAATACCTGGCTTCCACAAAATAAAATTTAAAAAATAATGGGGACGGAAGTTATTTTAGTTTTTTTTTTGTTGTAGACATAGGCGTATTTAAGACCCCAAAATTGTGTAATAGCTAGCCCAGTGTAAGGAGCGGAGTTTTTAGTTCTGGGCAAAGATATGTCTAAAATGACATATGGGCTTCTTTTAAGAGCCCAGACCTTCCTGGAAAATAATCTTAAATATGTGAATTTAGAAATACAAACGAGTTGACAGTCTACCCGTTGAGAAGTAGCTACTGTGTTTATAAACATTTGCAGCATGAAGTTGGTTGCCGGCCGTTGCCGGAAATTAAAAAGTCTATAAGCACGTCTTTGAACAGCCTTTCATGTTATAGTAAACAGAGAAAACGAGAACTAACGGCCCTATGTCCTGGAAATTATTGTAGCTAGTTCATTGGTGAATTGATCAGGATGAGCCAAATGACCTGACTTTATCCTCACCTATCCTGCCTATTGGAAGTGAAAGTTTGTGTTATTGGGCAGATGGGGTTAACGTTTCATTTTCATCCATAAAAAAAAATAAGCGCTACAAGACAACACCAATAATTGAATTATGAAAATCTGGATGCACAGTCCTGAACATTCAACACTTAATTATTATAGGGAATCTTTAGTTTCCTAATTTGGCTCGACAGAAGGTCCATCACGTGTCCTTATTATTTAAAACCCATGTTATCATAAAGCCGAGGAGACTGTCAAATATTGAAAGACTACCTGGCTCTGTGTTCTGAAGATAACTCTCGGCGAGGCTGCTCCAACGCCGTGTTCGTTGACCGCCTCCACGTAGATTTCGTATTCTGTGTTCGATTCTAAGTCTTCTAAGATGAAAGGCGGATGTATCTGTGTATACAAAATACATGATTGAGTAGATATTATTTAGGCATGGGTGTTGGTTTGCCCTTGCCGATTCAGTTCCAAGTTTATTTTACTGGATTTGCAGTAATAACGAATTTGTTGTTGTTTTGAATATGCATTTAATATGTGAGCAACTGAACTATATAAATTTACAATATTTTGAATATGTATGAAACGAAGATGTGACGGTATATAATACAAGTCAATTATAACGAATGACGTGAATGTGGCTGCTGATTAGTAGGTCGTCGCAATTTGTTTCACACTTCACGATCCTTGCAGCAACCATAGATTATGCAGTAACAGATATTTTATTGTCTTAAAAATACTAGAAATAATATGAGGAGCTTGGAAATGGAAATCTTCATACACTTGCACAGTTGTGCGCTTTGGAATTCTCAAACTAACTGACCGTTTAAAATTTTGATTTTAGCTTTTTAAAACCCGATTGTTTCTCTGAATTCATAATTATAAATGTTCGTATCAGGCATTCGTAATAATCGTCTGCGTCATTATTAAACTTTGCTAGTAGTTGCCCGTTTGCTTAGCGTGGCAACTACTGGAAAAACCCTCCTTATGGGGAAGGCCTATGTTCATCAGTGGCCAGTTAATGGCAGATATAATGAGGATTAAGTTTTATTATTCTGAGAGGTATTATGTATGTGGTCCAGCTTAAAAAGTGTCTCTAACCCTGTCTTAAATTTTAAGCATGGTTTCAAATTTCTACAATTTTTACCAAACTGTACTACAAAATAACTTACATCTTTCTTCTACCTTTTCTATTTTGTCACTCACCTTTTCTAAAGCTCTGTAGTCGTCTTCAGAATTTACAGTTCTGTAATGCAGATTGTATGACTGGACGGTGTCCCCGAGGGCGGCGGGCGGTGACCAGTGGACGACGGCGAAGTCCGTGTCGATGTTGGTCAGGTAGACCCCTGCTGGGGCGCCGGGGAGCACCCCGTAGCCTTCCAGCAGGCAGTTGGTGTAGGAGTTCATATAGCGGAGGCACCTGATGTCATATTTTATTATAATACAACTCATCTGCATGAGCTACCAATAAATAGGACATAAATATCTAGATAGCTTGTCAAGTAATGTTAAAAATTGACGACTTAGTTAAAAAAATTACGCGCTTTTTTGATAATAAAAAACTATATTAATCTTGTAATTGGTAATTACATATATTGCTTACATTAAGTAATAATATAATGGTTTATCCATTACCAGAGGAAGACTTTGTATAAAAGTCGATTGTTTGTGTACCTCTGTCCCATTCGTGTTTCAACCGTGAAGCAGTTGTGTTTGCATGATTGTGTTTCGGTTTGAAGGGTGCGATATGGCGTGAATTTACTGGATACAGAGGAATAACATCTGAGTCCTCAGGAATGGCAACGCATGGGGAGTATCATGGGCGAAACAGTATACTCTGTTATGTCCATGGTACTGCTCATGTCTATAGGCGACGGTTACCACTTTCCATCAGGTGGGCCGTTAGCTTGTTTGCCATTGCAAGTTGTATAAAAAAAAAAAAATACAAAATTCACATTTTCTTTGTAAAGGAAGATAAGAAATTAATCCCCGGCAGAAGCGCAGTCTGCCGAGGTTCAGAGCGTCAGAAAGAGAAACCAGCGAACTACGCGGGCAGTATTCAAGATCATCGCTTTCTGCATCTTTCCCGGAAGTGAGCTGCCTCAGAATCCTAACTGTCTAAGGTGTTATTCCAGATTGGTTGGGATAAGACCGCTCACCGATATTCATTATTTTATTATCTATATTATAATTTTACTATTTTAGCTTATTTAGCTTAATTTAATCAACGTACAGTTGTACAGTAAGTTTCTGGTCAATAAACAGCAAAGCATCACAAACTTACTTAAAATGATTGAAGTCCAATGTCGTGATATTCCCACTGCATAGCGGGAGACAGGGCTCTGGCAGGCCCCTGGATCGGCAGCAAGGAGTATGGTCCATCCCGTTGGCCAGGCACCCGAACGTGACTCCCGCCCAGGGGGCACATATCATCAGATCTGTGACCTGCAGCTGGGGTTAAGAAGGTACCGAATGACGATGGTGCGTTAGTCACAAATGAGTGTCTCTACTGAGTGAACGTAACAGTGCGTACAATGTGATTGTTATTCGGACAACACAACACAAAATAATTATGACCTTGCTTTTAAAAATAGTAATGAAATTTATGATTTACTATTTTCAACGAATATTTTGTTATAATTAATAAATAGTTTTTCATCAATAACGACTAATTTTCATAATTTAACACCAGTGATATTAATGTATTGCTATTTTTAACAAATATTTTTAAGGTTTTTTATCAATAACGACGAATTTTCATAATTTAACACCAGTGATATTAATGTATTGCTATTTTTAACAAATATTTTTAAGGTTTTTTATCAATAACGACGAATTTTCATAATTTAACACCAGTGATATTAATGTATTGCTATTTTTAACAAATATTTTTAAGGTTTTCCAACAATAACGACGAATTTTCATAATTTAACACCAGTGATATTAATGTATTGCTATTTTTAACAAATATTTTTAAGGTTTTCCAACAATAACGACGAATTTTCATAATTTAACACCAGTGATATTAATGTATTGCTATTTTTAACAAATATTTTTAAGGATTTCCAACAATAACGACGAATTTGCATAATTTAACACCAGTGATATTAATGTATTGCTATTTTTAATAAACATTTTGTTGAAATTAATAAATTTTGAACAAGTATCCTTTATCAAATAACTAAACAAAAATAACTAACAAAATACAATATGTAAAGATGTAATTATACACGTATAAGTATGTCTGTTTTATTGTTGAAAGCAATCACTTCGAAACAACCTTTGGGTAACAGGCTATTGTTGTATAAGTATGTATGATAATATTCTACAATTGAGGAAATTTAAAATAACAGATTAAAAATAAAAAGTTTATCAACAATAACGACCAAATGACATAATTAAATTTCTTTTAACTATTTCCCTTTTATTTGACCCACTAGTACAAGAGCTAAATATTTTTTATATAATTATATGTTTTTTAATCGCCGTTTTTTTTATTAGCTTTTACAACAATGTTACCTGTTATAAACTTATACCTGTTATTAGCTGTTATGTTATATTATACACAATTAGTAGCAGTTATTATAATAATATCAAGCACACGAATAGTAACCGGCTAACGTGTAAGAAAAGATTAATGAAACTTGAGGAAGCGAAAGAGGTTTATTTGAATCGAAGCATTTGGCGTTCCATTGTTTCTGTGTAACCTAATGGAAGATAGGCGGGACAGATATGTTTGTATGTATCTAGCACACACACAACTACAGTTTTACTCATAGACATGTTGTGGAACATAATGCCACCAATTCTTTGCATCTTTAGAATATCGTGTTTCAACTGTGAAGCAGTTGTGTTTGCATGGCTGTTTCGGTTTGAAGGGTGGGATATGGCGTGAATTTACAGGGTGCAGAGGAATAACACCTGAGTCCTCAGGAATGGCAATGCATGGGGGTATCATGGGTGAAACAGTATACTCTGTTATGTCCATGGTACTGCTCATGTCTATAGGCGATGGTTACCACTTTCCATCAGGTGGGCCGTCAGCTTGTTTGCCATTCTTAGTTGGATAAAAAAAATATCGTATAAAGCAATTAGAAGAATAATAAGGACATCAATGTAGGAAAAGGAAAATTCAAAATTAAAAAGCAAAATCTTATTAATAAAATAAAATTGTGACTAGACGATATCTGGACATGGGGGTAATTAAAGAGAATGAATATGAGAGGTCTTAATGAGACTGTATGGATGGATATAATAAGAAAGTACTGGACATGCCAAAATAATTATTTTTTAAAATGTTGTCTGTTTGTCTGTCTGTATGTTCATTCCATCATCAGGGCAGAACTACTGCATCAGATTTAATGCGATTTTTGAAGTTGTATTCCTAAAGATCTAACCTAAAAACTGGTGTGTTTTATTTGGATACGCCATCTAGAAATAGTCCCATACAAAGTATGCAGAAATATTTAAAATCTTAATAAGACCAAAAGAAGAAATTCTGTCTGTCTGTATGTTTGTTACGCCATCTATTATTAGTGATATATTTTATTGGCTTTAGTACATCTGAAATCTATGTATACGTAGTAGCGGGTAAAAAGATTATAAATAATAAACTAATATTATAAAGAAGAAGGATTTGTATTTTTGTATGTATGTATGTTTGTAATGAATAAACTCAAAAACTACTTTGCCGATTTCAAAAACTCTTCACCATTAGAAAGCTACATTCACCCTGAGTAACATAGGCTATATTTATTGCTAGAAAAGATTAGGGATACTTACTAAAACTTTAGTACCGTAACTCGAGGTGTAAAAAATGCTATAAAATATCTTTGGTCGCGTGCGCTGCGGAAACTATTGGTGATAGAACAAAAGTATGTTCTACAATATTGAAGAAATTATCAATAACTACAAAAAACTTCGCGATACTATAATGTTCAACTATTATCGTTATGTCACAATAACCACTTTTTAAAATGTTGTAAAAATGTACGCCCGTGCGAAGTCGGGACGGGCCGCTAGTAGTAAATAAAATCGCGCGCAGCGACAAACAACGCGCGAGTCGCATTAGCCGAACCGCGCTCATGAATAAGAGCTCCTATTGAGTTCAAAACTAGTCGGGCCTGACGTGGGTCACATTTATAATATTAGTAAGGATTGGATTATATTATATTTATAAATGGGCTGAATCAAATGACAGACTATTTTCCCACCGGAAATGCACCAAAGCCATATAATTAACAATTCTTAGTTTTGACGCCGCGCAATGTATTTGAAATTTTACGATTCACACGACGCGTGATAAGTAGGTATAGCGCAGTCAATGGTGCTTCTTCGTAGGTAATTTCCGTACGCTTGTAACGTTGATCTTACACAGCAGAATCCGGGCGTCGCGGTAGTATTTTAATAAGAATATTATTTTATTTTATTTATTTACACCACATTTATATGCACCAAGTAAAAAGAGAAATGACAAATACAGTGAATATTAATGAGAAGTGATACAAAAGGCGGCCTTATCGCTAAGCAATCTCTTCCAGACAACCTTTGGGTAGAGGACATTGAGAAAAAGACAAAGGGTAGGTGGCAATATTAGATTGTTGTTTTTTGGTATTGCATATTCTTTCACTATAAATAATTATTATTTCTTTATATTATGACATAATATCATATAACACATGATTTTAAATGAAAAAAGAACATGAAAACAATTTGAAATATTCTGAAAATAATTTCCACCGGTCTTCAGTTCTAAATAATGGTTTGAATTCATTGTTTTACTTTAACAACCTGCCTCTTACACCCTGTATAATTTCAAGTACTAAAACCGGTTTTGTAGTAGTCATACATTCGTAAGTACGTATCTATAGGTGCGTGATGAGTAAGGCACATGGTACAATAGTCATTTTAATCAACGTCTCTGTTACACAAGTGAAATACAAATTTAATTTTGACTAAACAAAACACGCTATAATGAAATAGGATTTGTGCAGACGAGAAAATGAGAAGCGATGAGTTTTTATTTCCCTGTTATGAATGAATGTTGCCATGCAACGGATTAAGGTAGAAAGATAACGAACAGTTTAACATAACATTTTTTTTTAATAGAAAATAAATCAACATTGCTGGGTAATAAATTATAATTACTTGAATTCATTTAGTTTTTTGATATACGACTCTTAGGTTTTTCGTTTTAATTGATATTTATTTAAACTTTACTGCATAGTAAAATTCTATGTACATTTGGCGGACTTAATAGCGGACGGTGTTCTCTACCAGTTAAACATTGGGCAAACCGAGAAATATGTAGGCGGTGTATTATTGAATAGAGGAAAAATAAAGCAATACTTGATATACTTTTATAATATAAACATATAATTCGACTAATATAAACATATGTATAATATTTTAATTAAATAAGCACATATATAAATAAATACATAAAATATTACTATATAAAACAATTAACTGTAATAGAAGTGCAAATAATATAGCAATCTATGACTCAAACAGAGTAACCAGCAAGATTAAAGCAAAAGTGATTTTTCTAAGAAATTTATCTATGAATAACTTTCATCTAAATAGGTTCATTTCAATTACAAATAGATTTTATTGTTTGAGGCGCGCAGTCAGCGCGTTCGCTCGCGATTGCAACATAGCCGCATATAATTAAGGATCACGAATTGATCCAGAAACTAGTCGAGTTTTCTTGATCTAATTACACGTAAATTGAACCGGTAGTTAATGCATAAAAATATAAATAGATAATTCATGCTGATGGCCCATCCGACCGGAAATGATAATCAGTATAGTAAGTGGTATTAACTAAGAATTGGTTTTAATCAATTATAAGCAAGTTTTTACAAAATAAGTAAAAGCAAAAAATCTGTCTACCTTAATGCGTTTTTTAATATGGAGTAACATGCATCACAGTATGAAGTCACAGTGCATTCAACTTACGTCAATCTCAAATGTCTTGGTGGGGTCGCAGAGTTTCTCCACACAGCCGTGGTGGTTCACGCCGGCGGATATGCAGCAACCTTTGACATCGGGCAGTTTTGGGGCTGCTGCTACCTGGGTGGACTTCATTTTACCAGGTGTTAGGGTCAAAGATCTGTAATTGAAAATGGCAACACTTTTTATACTACAAAAGTAAGTTTATTTATACAACAAAAGTGGTAAACAAGGATACAGCCCATCTGATGGTAGACGTAGCACTGAAGCCTATGGACGCTTGCAACATTAGGGGTGTCAGGTGTGCGTTGCCGACTATGAGAAACCTTAATATACCCCATTTGATGAACCCCATACTGTAGTTTCTAGAGGAAACCACCTAAATATTAAAAATAAAAGTAAATATAGCATTATTATCCTGCTCCTATCCCAATTATTCGTGGTCGGCGTTATTTAATTCATATTGTACAAAGTTTTGGCTTTTGGTTTTACAGTTATATAAAAGTAAATAAATAAATAAAAGTTTCAATATACGATTCACCTGAAGTCAAACGGTCATTATAGCCTTAACTTTGCTATGCATTTCCTCTCTCAGACTCATGACTTTGTATATGGGAGTGTAGTTAGATCAATTACTATAGATTGTTTCTGCTCCCACTTAAGTATAATGACGTATTTTCTGTCTTCTATGATACTAGTTTGTTGCCCGTTAATTCGTACACGTGAATTTCAGAAGCAGGATAACCAATGGAATATATTACTTCTAGATTCTATAAAGAAACATACAGACAACATTTCTTATAATTGTTGTTTGGACTTCTATTGCTTTTATTAAAACTTGATTGGCTGCAGGCGAGCAGTGCGATGCAATCGCGTATTACTTTACATATTTTTCTATCTCAAGCGTAGTTTAATGAAAGATATCTTGAAATCAGATGTTTTAAAATTAGCTTCCGTTAAATTCTTTCATACAAATATATTTCAATGCAAACAATCTAAATAAAAGCGGGTAAGCAAGTGAACTCGTTTACCAATGCTTGTATATGGTGGAAGTTTATATATGAATTTCCATCCGTATCCTTATTGTGATAGAGAAGTAGGTCTTCATACTACTATACTTACCTGATAGCATAACTAGGAAGACTGGATCCATGAATGTTGTATGACGTGACGGTGACTTCATACATAGTGAATGGCAGTAGATCATCCAACACCAAATAAGTTTTATTTGCCTGCACCTTATATGCTACAGTTTGGATGGTTCTCGCCGTATCATTCTTCATAGAACTCTCTGAGGGATCTATCAGGTGGGCGTCAAAGGAACGTAACGTGGTTACGTTCACGATGTACTCTGTGACTGTGTCACTGTTCTCTATTGGCGGAAGCCAGGATACGTTCAGCTGCTTCTCGTTCAATGGCTCTACTTCTACTTCTTCCGGTGGGCTTGGGAGAAGTTCTGAAAAATAATTTAATTTTAGTAGAAGATGGTATGGACAGGCCCGTGTTTGGAGGTTCAGAGCGAAAGAAAGAATAGTGTACCCCTTATCCCTAATCAAATAACACTTTATTTGATTAGGGATAAGGGGGTTATAAGGAATGGAGATTAGTCGTTTTATTGCCACCAATATATTTATCACGATGACCTTTACTCCTAAAGTAAAGGTCATCGTGCTCCTATAAACAAGCCAGATAATCTGACCTCATCTCACCCTTGATACTTTATCAGTGTAAATTAATGACGCAGGTGAAGTTGCCATTTCATTTGTTAAAAATATATTAGAATGCATGCTTTGACGTTAAGGCTTCGTTTATCATCATCATCATCATCATCATCATATCAGCTGTTAACTATCCACTGTTGAACATAGACTTCCATAAGAAACAGTGTCGACCCAGAAAACTGTGGGTCGATTAGAGGTCTTTCTGATCACTGAAGTCAATACCCAAGCATTTTTCTACTTTCACATTATTTATAACTTATTGTATATAGTACCAATGTTTTTGGTAAATATTTAAGTATCTAAGAAATTACCAATGCCTTCCACAATGCAGGCCAAAGTCTTCTCCATATAAGATGCGCAGGAGTAGTGTGTCTTAATATTGTCTGTGACTGGTGTGAACTCCCCTCGACACACGTCTTGGCAAATATCCGGTACGCGTTCTTGGACACAGCATGGTACGTGGTTCCGTCCGTCTGCCATACACCTGGGTTAATGAATGGGAAAGATTAATACATAATATTATAATTTTATGTACTAGCTGTATCCTGTGAATTCGCCCATGTGAATTAGTACATAGTATATTGCATAGAGAAGTATTTACAGCGAGAAATATACTGAGTAGGCGATTTTTTGACAAGGAATTATATGTTTTATATTGAGCACATTTGTTTTATATAAGTTTGGTAATGTTCACTATATTATATGTAGTACTCATGTCTGCTTCACGTGTGTGGGTGCCTCGGATAGATGATTCTATACTTCTTGCGCTATTTGTTTGAGGCAAGCATTGTCAAATTTTGTAAATTGTGTCTATTGGTGAAAACCTATAGGTGGCTTCATTGCTGTTATCTTATAGTTATTTATTTATATAAATAAGTTTTAGTTTTCCTGTTACAAATATATAAATAAAGTATCCTATATGTTAATTTAGAATATAACCTATCTGTGTACCATATTTCATTCAAACTCGTTCATTTGTTTTTGCGTGATAGAGTAACAAACATCCATCTGTCCTTTAGCAAACTTCTTTTTCTTTTCTCTCTTCTTCCGCATAAAGTATTATAAAATAATAGTAGAATTACGTATATAGGTGAAGTTTATATCGTGAACTTTTTTTCGAAAAAAAAAATGTTGAAGATCCTATACTTATTTGATAGTTGAACGCTTTGCCTTAATACAGAGACTCAAATGGTGTACTACTGTAATGTTGCTTACCTGGGTGAGTGTATTGGAAGACTGTAAAGGTCACCCAGTTGATCCAAAAATTAAGTAAATATTAATAAATTTCCATAATAAGTGTTTTTGCTGTCAAGCTATTGTTATTGTACGGTTGTTTCGGTTTGAAGTTTTGGGATATGGTAGTGATTTTACAGGGTATGGAGGCATACCACTTTAATTAAGTTCATAGCAATAGTAATGTATGTAGGGTACTATGAGTATTACATTGTATCCTGTAGTGTCCATGGTGCTGCTCACGTCTATAAACTAGGGTTATCACTTTTCGTCGGTTAACTGGCTATTTAAGCTGCCTAAAGAAATCTTACTTGACAATAGCGGGGAAGTCGGGCTGACACGTCTCTGGGTCTTGTCCGGTTCCTTCTAGAATTGTCTGTATACTGCAGAAGCCTAAGCAGGCGCTGCTAATGTTCGCAGCTAAACAGCAATCCGTGTAGTTGTGTGACAGAGCCAACGACGACGGCGTCGGTGCGTTGGCTGAGTAACTGTCTGTTACATTTTGCTGCTCTGGTGGCGTAAGCCCTCGGGATATCACTACAAAATAAAAAAAAATATGTTTAAAAATATAAAAACACTGTATTAAAGTCAGCTGACAGGGGTAAGAAATTGTTAGTAATGGTTAGAGGCCCCATTGATATCAGGTCGAAAAGTCTACGCAGTTCCTGCTGTAAACCATTGTGATGAATTGTACCACAATCATTCATCAATCTATATATATATATATATATATATATATATATATATATATATATATATATATATATATATATATATATATATATATATATATATATATATATATATATTTTTTTAAATAGATGTATGGCTGTGTTTAGGTTTGAAGGGTGGGATATGGCAGTGAATTTAAAGGGTACAGAGAAATAACACCTGAGCCCTCAGGAATGGCAACGCATGGGGGGTATCATGGACGAAACAGTATATTCTGTTATGTGCATGGTACTGCTCATGTCTATAGGCGATGGGTACCACTTTCAGCAGGTGGGCCGTTAACTTGTTTTCCATTTTAAGTTGCATAAAAAAAATGTTTACTTTGTCTATTGTTTTTGTTATTTTGTTTTGTGAGCTATAAAATTAAATAAATGTCATTTTTGTTTTGTTCTTTCTGCATTTAATACTAACTGTATTGCTGTATAAATTAGTAGACAAAGGATCCTGATTGCTATATGTTAGTTTATGGTTATAATCTTTTTTTTTTGTTGAATTTCATTCAAATCCATTCAAAATTGTGAATGAGTATCGATATGCAAACATACAAATGTTGTGGATCTATCCAAATTTATTTGTGGTATTAGTGGCCTTTTACGTAACTAAGATAGTTTAGAAATTATTAACACTAGAGGGAGCCAAACTCACACGAGTATACTAATACCAATACTAATTGGTATTAGTTTTGGTATCGGTATCGGTATCGATATTGGTATTGATATTGGTATTAGTATTGGTATCGGTATTGGTATCGGTATCGGTGTTGGTATTAGTATCGGTGTTGGTATCAGTATCGGTATTAGTTTTAGTATTAATGGTAGAAATAGGATTAGTAATTATGGATTTTGAATCAATATTTACCAGTCAACCTATGGAAGCTTTTTACGGGCGGCTCAGTGTTCAGTTCACACGTATAGAGGCCGGCGTCCGAAGCCTTCACCGACTTGATGACGAGCGCCCACACGTCGCCACCCTTCATGATGCCTGGACCTTGGAGCGGTTCGTCGGCTGAAACAAGATTTACGTGATACTTATTTATTCTTTATTGTACAATAAAATTTGTATGGCGCTTTTTATCAGATAACCATTAGGTTAAAACAAAAAGCGCTTGAGGGTAGTAGTTGCGAATATAAATTATAATAAAAAATAATTATCTATGATTTTAAATTGACATAATAATAAATAACTTACCTAATAAAATTATAAATACCAGTACTGTCTAATAAAGAGATCTATCTATCTACATGGTATATTGTTAAACATTTCGAAAAAAAAAGCAACAGCTGAGTTTCTTGCTTGTTCTTGGCTGAAATTGCGTTCCGAATGGGCGGTAATGAAAAAATGACTATTCAAAAATGCTTAAATGTAAGTTTACTTGAATAAATTTCTTTTTTCTTTCTTACGTATATAACTTCATTTGTTAATTTTGCTGCGTTAGTCGTAATTGTTTTTATGAAGCTATTAGGTAATGGCAAAGAAGTTGACAGCCCATTTGATACAACATTAAGCATGTTGTATCAAATGGGCTGTCAACTTGTTTGCCATTACCTAATAGCTTATTTATTTTTTAAGAATAAATATTAATTAAGCAAATAACAGTATATATAAGCATTTATAAACAGTATTTTTTTATGATTAATAAGAACTGGCAAGATATAAAACAGTTGCTTTTTTTAAACAAAATTTGATTACACAATTATAAATTTAAACAATAAGTATATGAATTAGTAATTAACAAATTTTTTTATAAAACCTCTTAGTCGTTATTTAAATAAACCTAGGAGTACTTTCTTATTGTTCTATTGTTATTTTGACGTCAGTTTTGGATGGTTGTTCTTTGTTTGTGTGTGAAACAATAGAATTTACAGGCGAATAAAGGTAGCTAAGATTCCCAGTGGAGCCTACACTAAGATTACGTTCTATCGTGGAGTCTATCTCTGCCAAGGTTTTTAAAATATTAAAAATACGTATTAAATTTAAAAATGTGGCTGCTTGCTGAATGAACTGTTATTATTATTAAGCTGCATAAAAAGTTATCTGCTATCGGAAAAGACTTACAGAAAGTTTTAGTTGCCCGCCTGATTCGAACTCTTGACTTTTGTGTATAACTCGGTGTGGTACACCACTGAGCCACGACGCCTTCGATAAACGATTTTTTATATCGATTCGATTTCCCTCCATAATGTATTCTAGTATAACGTAATACAGTCTCTTTTTGTCCAATAGCATGGCGCTTTGACGGCGCGAATATTGCCAACGCCCGCGGCGACGCGGCGACGGCACAAAGGCATTTTATCCGCTGTTACCACTATTTCTCAATTTTGTAACAGTTTTTTTTTAATACAAAACGAATTTGCTTTACCCGACTATTGACTAAAGGAGGGTAATGGGTTTGGGTATACGGTGATATAGCGATCGATCCATAATAATTCATACAACGAAATGTTACTTCAATAAAAATGTGTTTTTTTTTAAAGGAATATCAGCCGAAGAATTCCAAATATAGGTTTAAAATTTTGAGTCACTTTAACTTCCCATTCGTGTTTCAACCGTGAAGCAGTTATGTTTGCATGGCTGTGTTTCGGTTTGAAGGATGGGATATGGCGTGAATTTACAGGGTACAGAGGAATAACACCTGAGTCCTCAGGAATGGCGACGCATGGGGGGTATCATGGGCGAAACAGTATACTCTGTTATGTCCATGGTATTGCTCATGTCTATAGGCAACGGTTACCACTTTCCATCAGGTAGGCCGTCAGCTTGTTTGCCATTCTAAGTTGTATAAAAAAAATGTACTTTGGAAACAAACACAAAAACACATACATACACAAACACAAGCACACCTGCAATGCAGTTGGTGTTGTGGGTGATCATGGGCGGCGGTAGTCACTTATCATCAGGTGAGCCGCATGCTCGTTTGCCTCTTGTAAAAAAACACACACAGACACACTCACGCACGCAAACGCACACAGTAACACATCTGCACACACTAACGCACTCGCACAGGCTAAAGCCCACGCAAACACACACACACACACACATACAGACACATACAAACAATTAATGACGAGATTCTTCATAGATAATTTAGTTAGATCTATCTATCTATCCTATTTAAGAGCTGCGCTCTTGTCGGTGGAGCTCTTGCCACTCACTACGATTTTCAGCGAGTCTCTTCACCTCTTGATACGACACGACACCAACTCCTTCCTTGATATGCCTTATGTTACTATGCCTTGGTCTCTCTCTTCCCTTCCGTCCTTCTTTTTTAGTTAGATAGCAACATTAAATTGGAAATATTTAGAAAAGTTTCAAATTTGAATTTAGAATTGCGTGTTGTCATGTAGATTTGTGTAGATTGCTTTGTAACAAATTTTCGTTCACTACAAAACGGCAGCTTCAATTGTTACAAATGTTGTTATGGGATTAATATAGTAGTAAACTCTAGAAGGATCCGTCCAGAATTTGCAAATGAAACGAGTAACATGCTCACATAAAAAAAAAAACAGATAAAGAGAGAACCACCTTTCGGAATCGAAATTTGTACATCTCTCTAAAAATTCCAGACAGTTTTTCGTAGTGCTTTTGTTCCGAAGTCAGCCATGGCCCGACCTTTGTGAGAAGTTCAAAGCGATACAAATTAAAGAGATTCGCTTGTGATATCGCTCTGGTGAGCACAATATAGTACGAATAACTAGGCACATAGTCTGCATTTGTAAACTTATATACGTTGACTAATAAGGTATCGAGAGGTGGATCGTAAACAAAGAGTTAAATAAACGTACCTACATATAAAATTTTTATTTTTTTGCAATATTTTTTAATAACTTCGTGACACTACACTTTTTCATTGCCACAGCACACACACACACACGCACAACCATATATAAATATAAATCATCCCTGTAAATGACTCTCGACGGAGATATATGGAGACGCCTGCCCTCTGGTGTGGACGCCATGCAACCAGTGTGAATTTGACGCGGGAAAACAAACATCGACCTGCAGCACGACAGTTTTTGAAAATAGGTGCAAATAACAAAACAAAAAAAATCTTCTGTTAATTTGGGGTAAGTTTAGGTATTATTTATTATTTTTATTGTTTATTTTCGTGTACACATAAATCGTAAATAAAGATAACGCGAATTACAGGAGCCCTGAACTAGCAACCTAAGTGTGAGATAAAGTAGGCGATGAAAGTCAATGTTCTACCGAAATTCCTTTATATAATATAAATAGGTGCATACTACTCTCCAAAGGTGAGCCTGGAAGAGATTGCTCTTAGTGATAATGCCCCCATTGTTTTCTCAGTGTAGTATTTTCTTGTAATTGTTTGTAGTTATAATAAGTTTACTATGGTAATCTTATGGAGGAAACAATAAAGAGTATCTATCTATCTATCTATTTAGTATGCCTATATTAAGAATTCCGTACTTCAAAGGTAAAATGGACTATTAGTTTGAGGTTAACGAGAGAATAATCTCTTTTAATAGTCAAGTACAAGTATTTAAATTATTTTTTATTTGAAAATAAATAGAACATACATAGCTTAAGATCTCGGCACTGGATTCGGTAGGTATTAAACTTTTTAATGAATCTTGGTTTAAAAGAAAGATGAGTGAATATATAATGCAATACACGCACTGAGGTTATCTGTTTTCAGTTAGTAGAATTGCCAAGTAAAAATAGTTAAAAAAAATTGTAATTTGGTTAACTTAACATTTCTTTTGATAAGATTGTTCAAATAAAAGTTTATTAATTTTTCTATACGACGATATAGGGTTGCTTTCAAAAAAATTGGAACAAGTAAGGGTTGCCTGCCATTCTAGTTTGCGGATAACTGAGAGCAGGAAATCCGGGGGTATTTTATTATATTTTCCCTCATCTTTAATTCAAACCAAGTTTCATTAAATAGTTTTATAAATGCAGAACTCAGGAGCGCAGTTTCGTAGCCATATTTGATTTAAAATATTTGAATTTAGAATGGTGTCATGGACGCTACAGTGTACTCTGCGATGTCTATGGTGGTGCCCATGATTATTAGGATTATCACTTTCTATCTACCAACCGTACCATACCATCACTCTACAATCAGTTGGCCACTTAGAATATAAAAAAAAAACTGGCCTAATTGTTTGTCAAAAAAGTCGTTACACAAAAAAGATGTATCAGCTCTTGTCCACTGTAAAACATAGCCCCCTCAACCCATATTGGTGGGTTTTGCCAGTAGTTGCCACGCTTGGCAACCGCAGTTAGCCTTTGGTGATGTTTAAACGACGCTGCTGCCTCGACCATTAAGTTCTCTTAATCGTATTTTACGACCCTCAGGAATGGAAGATATTACGTAACATAAAACAAAAAAAAAGAAGTGAATTGTAAAGTTGCGTGATACTCACTGTCATCATGCAGGACGTGTACCCTCTCGTCCCTGGTGACTTTGACTCCCCCAGCGGTTAGGAGCTGCCGGTCACTCGCCCGCTTCCACAGTACCGGTTTGCCCCTGGCCCCCAGCACCACGCACGTAAGGAGAGCGTCCTCTCCGCTCCTGACCGTGACACCACTGCTGGGAGCTCTCATCCATGTCTCCTTTGGATCCTCGTCTTCTTGTGAACTCCCCGTTGATGCGCTGGCGCTTTCTACCGATTCACTTTTTGTATCTGCAAAAAAAACATTATTATTAATATATATCTTCAAATATATATATATATATATATATATATATATATATATATTATATATATATATAAATATTATATATATATATATATATATATATATATATATATATATATATTTAAATATATCATAAAATATAATTTATATGTACCTTTTTTTTAATGAGTGATAATGGAATGGTAACCCCCCCCCCATCTCACCTGCGCTATCGGTATACACCGGTGGGGCACCAGTGAAGGATGATAGGTGAGGATAAAGCAGGTTAGTTAGCCCATCGTGACGAATTCAACAAGAATTGTTCACGATGGTTTCCAGGGAGAACCACGTCGAGGTCGACCTAATAGGGCATATTGCTAGCAATGAGATTCTCAAACTCCATTGCCAACAATCCCTTTCCCCCCAATTTATATGTATCAAGCAGGTCAAGAAAAAAGTGTCGTATCAAGAGGTGAAGGGACTCGCTGAAAATCGTAGTGAGTGGCAAGAGCTCCACTGACAAGAGCACTGCTTACTATAAAAAATATTTTACAGTCATGATTATATTTTTTCTTTGACGTCTCTTGAGTTAAAGAAGAGGAGGGAGAGCCTATTTCCAGCAGTGGACAATCAACGACTGAAATGTTACGGTGTATTAAAAATAATTTAAATAGTACGATTTTTACGGAGGTCCAGTTTGGAGGGACTTTTTCCCTTTTGCTCCGATTTAAAACATTCAACTATTCAAAAAGATCCCCAATATTCCAAATTGATATAAGTACTCACTTCTTACTGTCCAACTGCTGTCATACTTCAAAAGCCTTTGTGGGATTTAAAAGCCTGACCCAACCGCAGCGCCGGTAAAAAGGTCATCGGTACCCTACGTAGGCCCGCACTACGAATATAAATGTCAAAAAGCGAATTTTGAGGCGCGGCGTCAGTTGCTCACGAACGGCGAGGGAGCGTTTTAGCGAAGGAGTGAATTCACTTTTTGTGAATGTCCTTTGAGACTTCGACATTTTATCTAATATAAGCGAATACTTATGGATTCTACTCTTAGATTTTTGTTTTTGTCTAAATGTTAAAAGAAAGCTACGAGCGTTCTGTCAATTTGGTTATTCAAGGAAAACGTAACACACTAGCAGCCCACTTCACCTTCGCACGGTTTTTCTTATTTGAAAATAAAATATAGCCTGTATTACTTGCCGGTAATGTAATTTTCGATAAATGAAGAAATTTTCAAAATCAGCTTAGTTATTTTTGAGGTTATTTATTACAAACAAACTTACAAAAAATCAAGTCCTTCCTCTTTGTTTAGCTCAAGTACAGATTATCAATGATTATTTTAAACAATATTTTAGAATTAGTATTTTAGAATTTTCTGTCCAAAAATTGTACCACAAATAATTATTAGTTTTAAACTTTAGCGGTGTGTATACATATTTTAAATATACAATCGGGTGTTAACGCGATGTAAAAGCTTTTACAGGGAATCGTTGGCAATAAAGAAGCTAATATGTAGGTAATATTTACCTGTAAAAGCTTTTATATCGCGTTAAGTCCTGATTGTGTATTTAAAATAATTATTATATGGTACATAACAAATTATTTTTCCTATTAATACTATAAATGCGAAAGTGTAACGATGGATGGATGGATGTTTGTTACTCTTTCATGTAAAAACTACTGAACAGATTTAAATAAAATTTGATGCACGGATAGGTTATATCCTAACTTAGTATATAAGATACTTTATATATCGATTTACGCGGGCGAAGTTACGGGATATAGCTAGTTTTCAATGAATCTTGTAAATTAGGCATAAGTGATTTTTATTGACTAGCAAAATACCATAATTATCGACGTGACAGTAATGGTTATTATGGGTTGTATTCACTTTTAATTAAAAATACTAATAATAGTATACAATAGTAGTAAGTTAAAATAACAATTTTGTTCTTCACTATGGCAACTCTTAACTCTCTCTTTCGTCTTCTTGAAACTGTCGTACTGTCTAAAATTAATTGCTTTCATAAAATTAGAAATTTATCTATAATTTATCAGTATTCGAGCGAACAAAATATATTTATTATATATTCCAATAATATAGTCTATGGTAGACTAGATTTCCAATGGCAACAATTGTAGTAAGTCTGGTAGCCAGCTCTTGATTTTAGCTTAGGGCGCTAGACATTTATTTTTAGAATAATAGCGAGTCAAGATTAAATTGGTAAGTCTTTTTTTATTTATAGGTCGTTTCTTTTATTTTGTAATAAAAATATAAATTTTCAATACAGTTCACTATTAAAATATCTTTTCGTAAACGAAGGAAATTCATAGACTTTTATCTTATATTTCTTTAAAAAATTTGAGAAAATTCAATAAGAAAATATTTAGTGTCAATGTACTCGTATCAGGCAGTTATGTAAGTAAACAAATGTATCAAAAAGGTTAATAATAAATAATACACATTAAAATTAATATCAAATAACTTTAAATGAAGAAATCTTAAGAAATTATTTCTAGTTATTTGTATAGAAGCCGATTATTTCTGTATATTTAATTTTTTTTATTTCATTTATTTATATCTACACTTATCACTATTTTTACAGGTATTATAACCTAATACAATAGTGTTTGGGAGGATAAGGAATTGTTAGTAATGGAGACTAAAAATTTCATTGCTAGCAATATTCCCAACCAGGTCGACCTCCTCGTGGTTCCCCCTGGAAACTATCATGGTTAATTCCTGATGAATTCATCATGATAGGCTAACTGACCTGTTTTCATTCTCATCTATCACCCTTCACTGGTGCTCCGCCAGCGTATCCCGTTAGCGCAGGCGGGGTTACCATTCCATTATCACCCATTAAAAAAATACAATAGTGTAATTGTGTTAATTACGTAGCAATATACTCGTAAATCTATGTACATACATACACATTATGTACATAGATACACATACACACACATTCATACACATTATATATTAATTATATAAATTAAAAAATATATTTAATTAATATATTCTACACAATAATTTATATATTTTATTATCCAATACAATCCGAATTGTATTGTAATAGTTTGATTTAATAGTTTAATTGGTAAGTCTTTTTTTATTTATAGGTCTTTTCTTTTATTTTGTAATAAAAATATAAATTTTCAATACATTTCACTATTAAAATTCGTTTCGTAAACGAAGGAAATTCATAGACTTTTATCTTATATTTCTTTAAAAAAATTGAGAAAATTCAATAAGAAAATATTCAGTGTTAATGTATCAGGCAGTTATGTAAGTAAACAAATTTTTTTATTTTTTTTATTTATTTATTTATTTATTTAACAAAGTATGTTTGTATTAGCCCAGAATTTATCATTGCCTCCTACACTAGGCTGAGCCTGTCCTGTAGGAAGCAGTACTCGTGTTATCATATACATGCATATAGATATTAAACATAGGCTTTTTAGCAGTACTCACAATTGTGTAACTAATCTGTATAATACAATTATTTTATTTATTTATTTTGTCTTTCTCTCACCACCAATACACATGTATAAATAAGTATTATGAATGAGTGTGTGTGCATGCGTGTGTGTGTGGTGTGTGTCTCTCTGTGTATCAAAAAGGTCAATAATACACATTAAAATTAATATTAAATAACTTTAAATGAAGAAATCTTAAGAAATTATTTCTAGTTATTTGTATAGAAGCCGATTATTTCTGTATATTTAATTTTTTTTATTTCATTTATTTATATCTACACTTATCACTATTTTTACAGGTATTATAACCTAATACAATAGTGTTTGGGAGGATAAGGAATTGTTAGTAATGGAGACTAAAAATTTCATTGCTAGCATTATTCCCAACCAGGTCGACCTCCTCGTGGTTCCCCCTGGAAACTATCATGGTTAATTCCTGATGAATTCATCATGATAGGCTAACTGACCTGTTTTCATTCTCATCTATTACCCTTCACTGGTGCTCCGCCAGCGTATCCCGTTAGCGCAGGCGGGGTTACCATTCCATTATCACCCATTAAAAAAAATACAATAGTGTAATTGTGTTAATTACGTAACAATATACTCGTAAATCTATGTACATACACACACATTATGTACATAGATACACATACACACACATTCATACACATTATATATTAATTATATAAATTAAAAAATATATTTAATTAATATATTCTACACAATAATTTATATATTTTATTATCCAATACAATCCGAATTGTATTGTAATAGTTTGATTTAATAGTTTAATTGGTAAGTCTTTTTTTATTTATAGGTCTTTTCTTTTATTTTGTAATAAAAATATAAATTTTCAATACATTTCACTATTAAAATTCGTTTCGTAAACGAAGGAAATTCATAGACTTTTATCTTATATTTCTTTAAAAAAATTGAGAAAATTCAATAAGAAAATATTCAGTGTTAATGTATCAGGCAGTTATGTAAGTAAACAAATGTATCAAAAAGGTCAATAATACACATTAAAATTAATATTAAATAACTTTAAATGAACAAATCTTAAGAAATTATTTCTAGATATTTGTATAAAAGGCGATTCATTCTGTATATTTAATTTTTTTCTATTTTATATGTTTATATCTAAATTTATCACTATTTTTATAGGTGTTATAACCTAATACAATAGTGTAATTCTGTTAATTACGTAATAATATACTCGTATATCTATGTACATACACACACATTATGTACATAAATACACATACACACACATTCATACACATTATATATTAATTACATAAATAAAAAAAAAATTAATTAATATATTCTACACAATAATTTATATATTTTATTATCCAATACAATCCGAATTGTATTGTAATAGTTTGATATAGTTATGCTTTGAGTGAGTTGGTACTGATGCTTTTTCCCCTCTGGCGGCGATCAATACGAAAGACATTTTGTCTTTACTTTACGACAATAGATATCAGATCGATCAAAGTAGTTGCTTAGTAGAAAG